AGTCCCGTGTGGTCCGTACGGCTGGATTGGTGATCATATGGTAGGCCGGTCGGCTGGATGGTCGGCAGGTTTACCGTGGAGTTCATGTGGTAACCGTCTGGTGTCTAAGCTGGGGAGTATGGCCCTGCTGGGACCAAAGCGAAGATTTAGCTGACCATGTACCACAGTAGGGAAAAGAGTGTGAGCTTATACCCCACTGGTCGGCCGGCTGGTCGGCCGGCTGGTCAAACGGCTGGCTGTATGGCTGATTGGTTGGCTGGGCAGCTGGCAGGCTGGCTGTCTGGATGGTTTGGCTGGTCAGTACAGTTGGCTGGGGGAGGCCCTATGGCTGTGTGTGTTGCAAAGACAGATGGCTGTCCCCCATGCGGTCTCTTGACCTGGGAACTCTTCTTAGCTAGAGCTGTCTGTCTATTCTTCAATAATTTTTATATCAGGCTCATAGAGATCGCAGGAGATGAGTTCTTGCTGGAGTAGTTGTAGGAGGCACTGGGGTAGAGTCAGAGGTCTGATCATTGTCGACAGCCGCAATGGCTTAAACTTTCTTCTTGGCTGCTTCACGCCTTTTAGCCTCAGTTACAGTCTCAAATAACTTTGTAGAAGGAGTAAAGGGAGACTCCATTATGACCTACAACGCACCTCACACCAGCTTATACTCACGTTATGTTTGAAGAACGAATCCATTATCTGATATTCGTTAGCAAGTGTAAAAGAAGACTGTCTCTTATCCCCAGATGGGACGAAAAATTTGCATTTTATTCAAAATTTGATGGTCCAAATGCAAAGGCCAAATCAAGCTCAAAATTTACAAAATTATAGCAAAAACTGGAACATATGTGTTGAGCCCCTGTCAAGGTCACGATGTATATATTTCCTTTAAGTTGGTTTGATTGTATTAGAGTGTGGTTGGACTGTATGTAAGCTGTGAGCTTTAAAGGTGTTATGTAAGAGTGCTTGGGTCAGGAGTAAATGTCTTTTGTTGTATGAGCTGTGTGATTGAATGGGTATTTAAAAAGACTGTGAACTAAAATTCAGTGCAGTCTATGAGAATTCTGACCTTGGTTGGACGGTTTTTGTTTTGGTGCGTTGTCCCAATCTTATGGCGTAAGTTACAATTTATTTGAATAGTGTTTGCTTATATTCTTGTAGCTTGGTCATGTATGTATCATCTGTATAGTTACATGTATATATATATGTAATGATAGAATAGTAAACAGATGTAGGCACATGTCTTTTGAAGTGTATATTCATCGTGAATTAAGTCAACACAATCTTATAATCACCATAATAATATGATCATGTACATTTACTTTTGATATTGACATTGGTTATTCTAAGTAATACTTGCTCAATGTATGTTGAACAACTCTATGCTTTTTCAGTTATTCTGAGTATTGTTACATGCTTGATGTATGTTGAATAATCGTGTGTAGTTATTCTGAGCATGCTCCCATGCTCATCTGTATGTTGAATAACTATGTGTGTACCATTCTGAGTATATAATACTCGATGTAAGGTGAATGGTCACTTGTATATAAACTTGCATGTATACGTTTGTTGTATAGTGTCCGGGGGACCCATAGGGGCACCTGTTTGTAATATGAGCAGGCAGGGACATTCGTTGTATGAAGCCTGACCCCAGGGCGACAGATGGCCAAGAATATAAGAATGTGAATCTGGACTGGATGAGACCTGTGTGAGGCTTAGCCTGCTGAATTATTTTCACACTTCTTACCCCTGCCTGCTTGATTAATTTTAGCATACGGCGCTCTGAAGAGGGTGGGTGATTTCAGACAGTCGGTGCCTCATTAGACAAGGGCCAATTGAAGAAATATTATCCACACTTATTCCTCATAGAAAAAATACACACTATTATATAAAAATATCCCGATGTTTTCAATCATACCAAGGTTAAGACCAAAGCGAACAGACAATTTGTAAATTTTCTTGAACTTACCTGAATTGCGTTAATGAAGGTGGTTAGCGTTTCATGCTTTGAACCTTTTTAAATCGTTACATTTGTGCAAATTGACTTCAATAATCATATCTCTGATATCTGAATTTTAATTGAGTATAAATTCAAAAAAAATTTTATCGGCAAACAACAGCGCGATGGTAAATTATGAACCATTTCAGTAACTTTATTATCCAAACGTTAAACAGAAAAACCCTTAATTTTCGAGGTCATCATGTCGGTTGCAGAAATACGAACATTCAGGTTAATCTGACGTGTCATGTTCTAAAATTTGCAGGAAACAATTAATGACTTATGAACATTTACCAATCCTAATTTCAAGTGTTTTGGTTGAATAATTACGATATACAAAAATAAAAAACCTGTGTCATGATGCTAGCAGACGACCTTAAATCAAACATGGCGCGCTTTGCCTTTATTAATATACATTGGCGAATGTTGACGATCTTCTCAATCGAATGTTTTATTCGTCATTTTGCGATAATATGACGAAAGAAAACGAAAAAAGATCGAGAAATTCGGACAGCAATATATCATTAAGTGCAAAGGTCACCGGATGTGATGTTGGAATATAGTTGGAGTAGAGGCTAATTTCTAATGTAAACTTGTTTTAACATTTCACAATAATTGGTGTTTGCAAGTTACCATGTAAGTTTAAATTCATTTATTTGACCAAGATAAAAAAAAAAAAGGTGAGGTGACGTTTCGCCAATCGGTGCCGATTTCGCCCGGTGACGTTTTGCTGAGGTGCCATTTTAGCTATAACCCCATGTGTCACATGCGGTACGGGCTTACGGTTTCAGAAATGACAGCTAAAATTGCAAGAATTTTGAATATTTCTCGTAAACTGCATTATTTTGCTATTGAATGGTTTACCTAGAATGTATATCAGTTCAGATTTTGCGTATCATCCAATATTTGCCATTTTTCACAGTGTTTGTTGACTTTGTTCAACTCAACAAATCGAGAGTTAGGCCACGCCCAAACGTGTCACTGACGTTTGTCGGCTTGTCAATTTGTCCGAAAGTTTATCAAATGAAATCATTTGCACACTCTTTAAAAATGATTTTTTTTAACAAAGATTTATACATGCGTGTCAATAATTCTAGAAAATTAAGTTAGACTTTTACAATCATTTTGTTACATCTAACGGGATAACCATGCATGTGGAGTTGTTTGTTTACTGCCGTTGCCATGATCGTACAAGTTTCATCCAATCGATGATGTTACGATTCGGATTGTTTTTGTTTACAATTAGTTACACCGAAAGTTGCTAATTTTTAGAAATTAAGGAACATGAGTGTTTTCCTTTCATCAGCAAACAAAAAATTATGATCGAATAGGAAAAATGATGAAATTATAAAGAAAATATCAGAGTGCATGCTAATCAACCTGAAGTGCCAAAAGTCACCAATTGCCGTTTCTGGTAGTTGTATGCTAAGAAGTTTGGCCGAAACTTTTTTAACTTGCGATATTTTCTTTTTGAGGTAAATAAATTACTGAAAGTTTAGATATTGAGCAAGCTGAGCATTTATGCATGTCATACGTAATTTCAATGTTACGCAAAGCCTTCTTGGTAAATAGATATGGCGAGTTTTATTTTGGGGTGTTGTTATGCTATCCGCCTGTCGAATGTGTTCGACATCAGATGCACGGGAAGTGACACCTCTGTTGAATGGGTTCGACGTTAGCATGCAGAGCTTTAAACAATGTACAGTATATAGTGCGATGATGTGGAAGGAGGCATGGAGAATATGACTTTGTACATATTGTGTACATAATAATGTGTAATGTGACAGAATTGATTGTTGACATGCATGTACTGATATTGAAGTGTTGAAGTATTATTGCCTTAAGATGTTAATGTATTGAGGTGCTGATGTTGAGATGTATTGATGTTGATGTTGAGATGTATTGATGTTCTGATATTGATGAATTGAGATATTGATGTATTAGTAGGGATTTAGGAGATAGTGTTAGTGCAATATTAGTGTATTTGTTAGTAGGGTTGAGTAACCTTAAGTATTTGGAAAGTGTATGTTAGAGTGACAGTGTGTGTGAAGTATATGAAGGGTGATAGTGGAAGGTAGCTGAATGGGTGTGAGTACGTAGGTTACATCATTATCAACATAATTCTTAACTTTATTTAATAAATATATTCTTAATCTATAGTTGGGTTGGGTTATTACTCCATGTTGTGACAGTCCCATTACTAACTACATAGCAATGTACCAAATTTCATTACATTTTGGTGACAGCCATATTGAAAATGGGATTCACACCATCTTGACATAATAAGGTGTCAGCATTGAAAGCTAATGGCTACGTAATGTCCATAAACATTTTCAGCTTTCAGTATGGTGAGTTCTACTGCTAACTGCACATGTAGCAAATTTCAATACATTTTGAAAACAATGGTCATAAATAGCTTATTCATATGGCTGCCATGGTGGCCAATATTACAAATTAGATTCGAACGTCTTGAACAAATTCTGGTGTCATCATTGGTGGGAATGAAAATGTGAAGTTATTAACTTCATTGGTTCTGTCGTTAATATTATATAGTCAAGTTGATATTTATTTACACTGACAATAACTTTCAGTCAGGTGAGTTAGTAATGTGGTTAAACAACAAGAACCAACTAGGCTCTTGAAAAAAATAAAATAGACAATAAACTGTGTGGTTCATGTTAAACAAATGAGCCGAAATGTTGAGATTTAACTATGAAGTGTGCTCATTTTTTGCCCTTGAAAATCTAAATATTTGTAAAAGGGTAACAGTAACTTAGCAACTGAATTGTCTGGTCTGTCATGTATGAAATACAGTCAGATGGGTGGGATGACCTACCAATTCAACATTTGAATCTCACACTTTCATGTGCCTAAACATTTGTGCTTGTCAAACATCACCCCTCTGACTGACAAACAACAATAAGAACATGTTTGTATAGAGCTCGATGACAGATATAAATAGTACTTCATGTCAAAGCATAATCCAGAGTAAATACTAAAATAATAACTCACTAACCTGATATACTTTCAGACAGTTTTGTCTTAGTCTCCTCCAGGTCCCTCAATGCATCCTCAAGCTCCCTCACAAAATTAGTGCTCAATGTTGTCATACCACCCTGCCATTAGAAAAAAACACATTTTGGCACAAAACATCAAACCATTCTATAAAATCTAACCAAAGATAGAGCCATACGGCTCTGTAGGTCACAAGACCATGAGAAGACATACCTTCACTAAAAATAAAGACAACAGATGGAGAGAGTTCTCCTCTCAGTTTCAAACATTAAATCGAAACGTATCACTAGTATCCATGGAAAAAAATAGGAAACCATATGGCAAATACCAAACAGTTTATAGTGAATGGGTGAACCATATTTTTTAAATGTAGCCCTAATTGTATAAAATATCTGCTCCAGAAAAACAGCCACTCTCCACTTAGCCCAAACTTAACGTATAACAATAATAACAAAAGGTACAAGTGCAGTTCATGTTGAATGTGTGCCTTAAGTTCATAAATAAAGCCAAAAACGTTTTTGAGTTCTGCTCCAGAAATGACAGCCACTCCCTCCATTCAGTTTCAAACAGAAACTGTAACGGGTTGGGAGTGGGGGACGTAGTCGTCAGGATGTTTGATGTCCTATCCCAACCATCAGTTTCAAAGGGATATTGTAAAAAAACAGATTTAAAGAAAACTATAACAAATAATAAAAGTCAATGGAAATCTATACTTGTTGTTATTTATGATTTACGCTTGCAACATATAAATGAACTAACTGCAACACGTATGCTAATTTAACACTGGTCAGTTTTGACAGATTATAAATTTCTACAAATTCTAGCTATTGTTTAATCTACTTAAAAAGAATAATTACTATGCACAAAGGCAGAGCCAATAAAGCTGCAAGGTAATTATCATAAAAAAAATAATATTTGTTTATGGAATCATTATAAAATTTCAAAAAATTTGCTTTGCCAAAAACTACAACTCACTTTGAGTCTGTTATTTCTGCAACTCATTTGGAATGAGATTATAATCTTGGTGATGTCACATCCAGAAATACATGTTGCAGAAGACGCCAAAAGAAGAATGCGATTAAACACCAAATACAAGATGTGACTGTAATTAACATGGATGAAATCTACCCAATAACATGTCCAGGAAGGTTTCTACGTAAGTATTTTGGAACAAGTATTCATACTTTGGTGGATTTAAAGCATAAAATCTCGGATTGAACTACACAACTTTTGATGACGTAAGCACCAGTATATCACAGAACTATTTGAGCCGATCACTGGAGCTAACTATAACTGTTAAATATTATGATGATACATTTAATTGATCGTATAACTACAATATACATACCGTATTCGACCCATTAAGTAACCAGGGCGCTTAAAAAAAGACAGAAAGGGTGGGCGCTAATTGGGACCAATTCAGAGTCAAATTGGCGTAAATTCATCAGTAAGCCTTACCATATTTTCTTGAGAATAGTGCGCACTTTTTTCCAAAAAACACAGCTGTGTAGAAGGGGGTGCGCATTATACACGAATTAATGAGTTTTGATGTTTTTTCCCCCATGGAAAGACATTACTGTGAGCACGTAACACCGGAAATACCATGTCAACAAATCCATACTGAAGTTCGTAAATTATTCATGTAATTACACTGTCTGCCTATAAAAAGTGTTCTTTGTATATCTGAACTTTTGTTTGTAACTTATTTCATTAATTTTATTCAAAATTCCTTTTAATATTGTTTTAATTAATTTCGGCGAAATCGTGTGTGAAGCGGTCAGATTACCGCTTTTGACACCTTGAAACGAACTTAAGTTGACAGAGAATGGATACATATATCATAAATGCCATACTTTGATTCGGTAAAAGTCATATTTGTTTTTGTTGGACGATTCTATGTCAACACGTAATTCTCGCAATCACGTGCACGGGAGCCTTGACGGTGACTGGTCAGACTGGTTCCATGTAAAAAATAATACCCGGCAATAGCGATCAGCTGCTTCGCTTAGGGTTATTATTATTTTAAATATGTTTAGTAAAAGCTGCATCTAAATTAACAAGATATTGGAATATATTATTCCTGATAAAAAAATTGTTTCAGATACAACTTTTGCCGATCCTTGCATTTAAAATCCTGTAAAGTTATATCATTGGGTGTGTCTTGACCGAATCACCGGTAGATTCCAAGAAAACGTGTGTACAGCTGATTGCTGTGTCTGGCTTAGTTTACGAGAAAATGCACAAGGTAATCTTAATCCCTGCATATAAAACAATGCCTAGCTGAACAAAAAATACAATTTAAACGGTAAATCAACTTGTCTGGTGATTTTTTTATCTCAAATTTCGAATTTGTACTGACGAAGTTTCTCATCACCCGTTCGTTTGCCGGACTTCGCTGAAGGGGTACGGTGTAATTTTTTTCTGCGCATAATATTCAAAGTCACAAATATCTAAAATAAACAGAATACAGTCATGCCCCGCTTATACGGACTTCAAATATCCGGAAACCTCGGTTCCCAGACGATTTTCATTTAAAACGAAATAATTACTATATAAATTTTCGGAACCGGGAGGGGGGGTGCTTATTGGGGGAGGGGCGCTTAATGGGTCGAATACGGTAGTTTTTACACACAAGACGTGAATGTAATAATAAATAATCATATCTATAACAGCTATAAAAACTTCAAAATGATTTTGTGAACATGGGAGCAAACTGAAAGTCTAAATTTACTGAGGCTGACTATTACAGAAACCTTAAACACAGAAAAATAGTACTGCAGAACTCTAGCTCACCTGGATATAAAAAGTCAACAGTCTAAAATGTCAACAAATTTGAAGCCAAAGTCCAGTTCCCTCAGAGCCAAATCATCTTCAAAAGGCAAGGGAGATAACTGACTCTAAAAGTCCAGCTTCCACCCTGGCTGAACTAGGCTGAAATTACTGGGCTCGATTGTAGCGCCACCAGTGGCTATTACAAGTTGTCCCTTCTATGTTCCTCCTATTGACCAATCAGATTCCCCCTCTCTTATCTCTTGCACTTGCTTCAAACAAAATGGCGGCACCTAGTCACAACGATTCATTGACAAAAAGATCCTTATTGTAATAAAACAGGTTTTACCTCACGAAGTTCATCAAATCACTTGAGCACCTTGATTAAATACATGAAAAGATTTGGAACATATCTGTCCATGCCCAGTTGACGGTACACATGCTCTGCAAATCCTGCAATCGAACGAATTCTGCATGGCACTTGACATGTAGTTTATGAACCAGATGTCGATTTCACTACAGGATTTTGATTGGACTATGCATAGACTCATCAGTCCAGCCAAAATATAACTCCATAATTCCAGCCTAATTTGGCAAGGGGGGAAACTGAACTTTTAAAGTCAACTCCCTTGCCTCGGGAAGATGGACCCAACTATGTCATGCTGACAGATATCAAACAATAGCTACCGGTATCATTGTGTATAATTCTATGAATACTACCTATAGTACATCATAGCCATAAATTCCCTATGTTGGCTGTCACCACACTATTAGATTTTCAATAGATATCCTCTTCACTGTCAGCTATCTTTTAATTAGTTTTGAGGTAAACCCTATTCTCAGGCCAATGCAACTGTGCATTGGTAAGGCGGGAAAATGTCACTTCAGGTTCTGAGGTCACCTGTAGCGCCTTTGGCCGAGGATGTAGGCAAATATATCAACTTTGATCTTATGATTCCAGCTGTTAGCCTATGGTCCATCCCCTAGCTGACAATGACCCAAAGGCTTCAACCTAGAAAAGGGATGGGGAGGCTACCAAGGGTCCCAGAGAAAAGTCCCTCAAGATCAGGTTGTACATCATGCAAGTAGAAGTGGCATTTCCATTAACAGCTTGATACCACTTGATCAGTGGATACTGAGTTCCATTGTAGACAGGCTTGTTGCTGGGCCTAGGGCTAAGGAACTTCCCCATCAAGGTGTAGAAATATGCACTTGGCAATAGCTTTCTTATAGCATCCCGCCACTGTAGCCTTAGTTTTGTCCTTTTCTGAAAAATACTTGCCCGAGATAAAGAGCTGTTGTCTGTGTTTTCTGCGATATTTGAGTAGCTGCAACATACTATTTCAGAGCTCTAACGGGACACAGTATTCTGTCTGGATAATCCACAGTTCTGCTCAAAGCGGGGATAAGTGATAATCCACAGTTCTGCTCAAAGCAGGGATAGAGAACTGTCTATGCCCAAGCAGGGCAAAGCCCGCAAACGGATTCTGGGCAGTAAATTCTGGTGGGAACCTCATATTTATTGTGCTCCAGTGTTGTGTGTGAATGAGTGAGGATATATCAATTTGCGAGTAGTTCTGACACCATAGCTAGGAGGAAAGGTGTCTGTTTTGAAATAGTTGAAGTGAGCATCTCTCATGGTGATTTCATCAAGGGTGACAGTGCGATTGATAAATTGCATTTTGGGAAGGTGTGTAGCATTTTGAGATCTTCCAGTGAGAATGACTTCATAAGTCGAATAGGTAAGTACATATAGAGATGTCATCGTGTTGGAGTACAGAGATCAATCCTGACCTGTAGCCCTCAATAGTGCCGGAAGTTCTTTTCCTCTCTCACATGGAGTAAGAAATCTGCAACAATTGGTAGTTACATCCATGTCTTGTAAACCACTTCCTCTTTGCCACTAACAGAACTTATATCATCGGTTGTCATAAATGGCTGATGAAGAGAGTCCCAAGGATCATGCTATGGCTTCTGAATCTGGAGGCCTACATTTCCCAGATAGTTTCCAGGCATGAAGGTGGAGGCTTTGTAAAATATGTCCGATCCTGGCTGATGTAGCAGATCGCCTTTGTGAAGCTGAAACCTTGCTCCTCTGCAGACTATGTCTTGAGCTGGTTTTATTTCTGACTTCGCAGGATGTACCAGGAAGCCCAGGTACAAGAGTAGCTGAATCAGGAAGATCATATTGTTTTATCTGCAACTTGTCCTGATTGGCTGATAGGAAGTCATTGATTTAGCCATGATGTCTTACTAGAATTTGATGGGCAAACCCGATGATGGGAGTGGTATGCCGAAAGGTAGTACACTGAACTGTAACCTTTGTCTGTTG